GCCACAGCCCCGTCCTCCAGGGCATGAAGCCGATCATGTTAAGGTTGTTGACGTGGCTTAGTGTGTCCACCAGAGGACAGTCTGCAAATTCCCTGTTTGCAACACAGCTCCTACAACCAGTTGAGCCAAGCAAATTCGGGGAGAGCGTAAGTGAGTGCATAACTACAAATAACAAATATATTTGCAGTGACTAATATTTGAGCTGTCATAGTGTAACCATTGTAATACCTCGTCCATCCATCTGCTTCCGCTTATCCTTTTCAGGGTCGCGGGGGGGCGCTGGAGCCTATCCCAGCTGTCATAGGGCGAGAGGCGGGGTACACCCTGAACAGGTCACCAGTCTGTTGCAGGGCTGGTGACCATTTGCGTTTACATTCAATCCCGCATTCACACCTATGGGCAATTTGGATTAACCAATTAACCTATCCCCACTAACTGCATATCTTTGGACTGTGGGAGGAAGCCGGAGTACCCATGCAAACTCCACACAGAAAGACCCCGGCCTGATGGTGGAATTGAACTCAGGACCTTCTTGCTGCGCGGCAACAGTGCTAACCATTGTATTAACATTAAGAGGCAACTAGGTTTGTTGCTTTCATTTACAAAAGCACCATTTTTGGTGGGCGAGTATTGAGTTACTTATTTCTGGTGGTATTTTTTACCAGCTATTAAATTGCTGGTATTGTGAAATCTCTGCTTAGTAGTTCAGCTAATATCCATCTGATATCACTTATGGTTGTAAATTACAGCAAGATAAATCATTCATTTCTTTTTTAATGCAGTAGTAGCTTTGTATCTGAGTCCTGCAGCTACGCTTTGCAGCAGAATATGCAGTATTGGCTCTAATAACTGCGGGAGACAGTTGGTTCTGCTTTTTTCTTCAGTATTATATGATAATTAGTTTTTCTTCAATAATATAAAATACAATTACTTACACATAAGTTGCATTTCACCTGACATTTATTACATGAACATGATATTAGACCCACCTCAAACATATTATTGTGGCAACGCAGTGAAAACAGCGCGACTGTATCTTTGCACGGTAATAAGGTGCAACTTTCTTGTTTGGCTGGAAAAAAGCTCCTCATTCAGCACAAAACTGCAGAAAGAAGCAATTACCTACCAGCTGTTAAACACAGTCGAGCAAAAAAAGATTTTTCTCCAGATTCAAGTTATTATTTGTCTTTCATTTGCCAGGTGGCCAGAAAAAAGAGACTCCAAATGAATAACAGTGTAACTGTTAGATGTGTAAATAAGCAGCTTGTTTGCAATAAAAGTTGATGATAAAAGTTGATGATAAAGTAAATCAGTGCTGTGTTCTCAACTTGTTTCTGTTGCCCCCAGGTGGCCCCAGAAGTCTGTTATTGTAGGTGTACCTAAATGAAGCCTCTGGTTAGATCAAAGTCCCCTTTATCTGCAGCAGGTGGGCAGAGGATAATTAATTAGTTTGAGAATTTTCTCAAAAAGTGCCTGGGTCCTTACTAACACGTTCCGAATCGAGAATCAGGCCTTTATTTAAAATAGACTGTAGTTGGAGACGAAAGAGCCCGAAGCACTGTGTGTTTGAACAAACTGTTCTTATTTATTTCATCAAAAAAATATGCAAGAAGGAAATCTGTGTGTTCTTTCTACCGTTTATGAATTCTTGCTATTTTTACTAAGATTTTTTCTCATCTGCTCACAATTGTTACGGCTATATTCATTTGTTTTTCCTGCCAAGTTGTTAGTCGGAAATGCAACATATCCATGTTTATTGGTTGTTGTTGTATTTTTAGCATAATCCAAATTTTCACTTAAATGAATTCTAGCAGCACAGTAGTGTAATCCTTTAGTACAAGCAAGTCCCTTTGACAGAAGTCCTCTTCCATGTGGTTCTATTGAACGGTTTTCTATGTAGCTATTTTAGAGTTGGACAGTTTGTGAATATGTCCATCATGAACCCAATAGCCCAAGCTGCTGCAAAGGCCGGTAATTTCCCTTCTCTAGGGGGAAATTGCAGGGCTTTTTATCCTGCTGACGTCGGAGAGTGACATGATTCCTTTGACGTCAGAGCTTAAGCTGTGGGCGTCATTTTTGTGTATTGTTTCAGTGAGTTCAAAGCGCAGCAGCCCCTCTGGTGGTGCCTAACAGCTGCTGATTGTGCAGCTGCTCCTGTGTCCATGCTGCTTCTCTCAGGTCATGGACATAAAATCATTCATTCATATCCTCATGCACAAAATAGTACCATAAACCCAGTGATCTCAGATTTTCTGTTATTTAAAAGTTTGAAAATCAGAAAAGCCGTAGAGCAATTGTGATGCAATAGATGAACTATGTTTGCTATCTAATAAGAAAAATGATAACAGCAGGCTGAGATAAAGTCCACTAATATTTTGTATCATTGGGTAAACCTCTGCTGTGTATAGACATGATTTTATGTCAGTGACAGCAGAGAAATTGTTAGATCTCTCAGTGTAATGCAATATATGCTGACAGCACTACACACTAGAACTTACAGAATGAACATAAAGGTTAATCAAGACCTTTCGGAACAGCATAACTTGAAAGGTTCATCACTGTGTGTTAGTTTCAGGGTACCCACTAATTTCGTCTGACCCCAAGTCGTGCTCATGCTAATTGTTGCTGTCCTGATTAAGTTAGTTATCTTTGAGCATGTGTGCAAGTTACAGTAACTGATGCAGAAATATGTATTACTAATATTTAGCTGTGTGCTGGCAGTTATCAGAGGTGTACCAACTTAGCCTATAAAATAACCCATGCAGAGTATTGATGGGGGCTCAGGTTTCGCCCATTGGCTTTTTGGAGGGACCACCAGGAGCCAATTAACAGCAAGAAAGGGAAGTGAGAGTCCAGTAGTGAGGAAGCAGCACACATACAATTAGGACCTTTCTCCCTTTTATAGAACATGTAAGTTGCCTAAACTAAATAATAAGAAAAAGAGAATGAAGAAATGTGAGAGATTTAGATAAAGATTTCGTCTGAATACGCCTGAAACAGAGTCCCCCTTTATAATTATGTTGTGTGTCATATAGTCGTAGTCATATAGTTGACAGATTGGAATTAGGCCTCACTTACAGGACCACATACAGAACATAATGATGCTAACAGATTAGACCAGGGGTGTTTTCACACCTGGTGCGTTTGGTCCGTTGGTGATCGCCAACCTCGATCCAGACCAACTATCAGGCTCACGTTGCAAGATTGAGCTAAAACGCTTCTGTGGTCTGTTTTGTATTGTATTCTGGGATGCGGCAAGGTACTATATATGTGCAAGAGTCTGTAAAATATAGTTACTACTACTAGTTAGCAATACATTTTATGATTTCAGTTCACATTTGAGGAAATTCACACATAGTTTGGTACCAATTCTTTTAACATTTTAGCTGCACTTCTTTCTTTTGGGTCTTAATTAAAGACTAGCCTCTAAACTGTCTCTGTACTACGGTAAGTGTTGCTCCTCATGGTTTTGGCTTCTGCTGAAATTGTAGACCTGCCATGCTGAGTGAATTGTCTGTCAAAAGTTTAAAAACACTAAACAGTTGTTTTGGTTTGCATCAGATCTAATTTAGGTCTTTCTGAGCTTTCTAAGCACTACCCCACGAAGGAACCTCAGGAGCGACGATATTTTATAATGATACCCAACAGTTGTAGAAATACTCGAACCACAAATGATGCAAATGCTCTGCCAACCTCAATTTAATGATTTCTTGTTTTTTTCTGACTGTGTTTTGCTGTGCTTTGTCAACAGATGGAATCAGTGTGACGGGCTTACCAATCTCCAGTCCCCTCCGCCAAGTCCTCAAACCCAGGGCTGAAACCAAGCCCGTCGGCAGCGAGTCCAGCAAGGCTGAGTACAGCCACATTAAGGTGACTAAATAAAAGCCTCTCTGAAGTGCGTGGGGAAGAAAGGAAACCTTTGCTCAGTTCAAAATGCAAACAGTCTGTTTCTTGTGCTTTCTGGCTTGTTGTATGGTTTAGTGAAAATCCATTTTCATCCTTGTCCAATCTCACTGCACCTTTTCTCAAATGATAAGTATCTCTGGCTAGTTTCTTTACTTTCTTACTTTGCCTCTGTCTCTCTTCCTGTTCACACCAATAGCTCTGTATACTGTGTGTGCATGGTTTTGCACAATTTACTGTCAATTAGACTTCCTTGTAAATGTCTGTGGAAGCAGTGTGTTTATGTGGATGGTAATACATCTTGGCTCCTGATGCACTCTGCTCATTGAATCTGAGTTGTAGACACGAGGAGAACATCTTAGGTTTTTGTACAAAAATAGCAAGAGTGAACAGGAGAATAAATTAGACTAGGTAATAAAGAGTGGTGGAAAGGAGACCGGCAGAATGAGAATGCACAGGATCAGCAGGGGATGTAGTTTCACTGAGGACTTGTGGGTATCTGAAGGGTAGAAATGGGCGGTCTGACTGAGTCTAGTTGCTGAGGGTTCACCTGTAGCACAGCAGACACCTGCAAGTGTGGAGACTGCATTGTGTTGCCTTTGAAAGTCACAATGCCACAATACCTGTGAAAGCTTTGTCCTGTATGAATCATCCAGAGAATACATATTTTGTTTGATGTTCACATGTGCTACCGAACACATCTTTTCCATTGAAAAGTTTGATAGGATGATGACTAATTGTTGGGAGGGGGAAAAAAAAAGAAAAACCTTTTTTCATAGTCTAAGCCTTGGTGAACTTAGAAGCTTCTGCAAGGACTTGTCTAGCACTTACATTATCTTATAAAGGGAAAAAATGACTGGGCCAAATGATCGTAGATGAACAAAAAGTGGATATTGTGCTTTATACTATATTTCTTTAACTTAATGTAAAGATTTGGTTATACTGCATAATGCAAAACTGCTTATTATATTTGTTTTTTGTGTGTTTTGTGTGATTAATGGCCATCTAAACAGAAAAAACTTAAAACAAAATGTAAAATTTCTTTTTATTAAGTATATACAATTATTAATAGTTGAAGCTCATATCATACATGGCCAAGAATTTAAGAAAATTGGGTTGGTGTATGTATAAATAATTCCTGTTAACCAGGTGAGAGAAGAAATTCCTAATATATTCACCTCAGATGCAAAGCTTTAGCTATGAGCAAAGAGGCCCCACCCACCTGTTGTTCGAGCTGGCATGAAGGGAGGGGAAAGGAAAGTAAACAGCTTTTTTCAGACAGGGGATGAACTGAGGGACTGCACCAGTGCCCAGGATGAGATGCATGAGGATTATTTGGAATCATGCAGAGTAACTCCAGCAGAGACAAAGAACAAAAATATGGAGCTGGAATTTAAATGACAGGATATCTTTGTGTTTTGAGCCTTTTTGTTTATGGTTTGGATAATCTGCAGTGCAAGGTCAAAAGCAGCTGCAATATTAGTTTGTTCAGAGAGAACATCTTATTATCAAAATTCTATTTTAATTTTCTGTACTTCCTAGACAGAGTTTTATGTATTGTTACGTTCCCCTGGGGGGGTCTAGGCGGTGAGGGGGGAGTAACAAAAGTGACCGGGTCAGAAAAAGGAGTCAAGGAGGCAAAACAGTAAAATGAAACAGTTTTATTGAAGTAATTCAACTAAAAGAGACGGACAAGCCGCTATCACCATAAAAGTAACACAAACAAAACTCAGGCGTTGGTCAGTAATGCCAAAAAGTCAAAAGGAAAACGCAGCTCACTAGCTGGAAACACCACAAACACTCAGCTCACTAGCTGTACCCACACAAATGGCACTCTGTTTTAAACATGAACCGGAAAAAGGGTCAACCAACGGCAGCTCAGGGTTAGTTGGCCTCGTACACTGGTTACGGGATGCTACCGAGCAACTGTGCTCCAGGTTTAGCCTTTTAGTAGGCCTGGCAGGCTTCTCAGTTTGAGAGCCACGACTGACTTTACTCAAAACAGGCCCCTTTCGTGTTGAGTGGGCTTTCTGTTTGAGTGCCAGTCTGACACAATTGGCAACCACATGGCCAGGCTTGTGACAGAAAAAAAACACAGTTTGGGCCTAGGTCTTAACACTATAACTGCGTTTTCCTTCTTAGCTGGCCCACTTTGACCTGTCCAGGCTGCGCTATAGTGCAGAGGGATATCCTGTCCTACCGCACTTGCTGTAGGAGTCAGCTTAAACTCATCTGCCAGGGTGGCAGCTTGCTGTAGAGTTGTAACCCTCTGTTCACTTAAATAAAGGGCCACAGACTTAGGAACAGAGTTTTTAAAATCCTCCACCAGCATAAGCTCACGTATGGACCCCACATCATTAACCTGGCTTGCCGCACACCACCTATCAAAGAGCCTCACCTTCTCCCTGGCGAAGTCAAGATAGGACTGTCCCTGCGCCAACTCCAACCCTCGAAAATGCTGCCTGTAGGCCTCAGGTACCAGTTCATAGGCTTGGAGGACGGCACTTTTGATCTTTCCATAAACCAGGCCGTCCTGCCTAGACAGACCAGAACACGCTGCTTGAGCCTTACCTGTCAACCGACACAGCAACATCACCCCCCACACATCTTGAGGCCACTGCAGTGCAGTTGCCAGGCGTTCGAACACACTGAAAAAGCTGTGAACACTGGATTCACAGAAGTCTGGAACCAGGTGAATGTTATTGCTCACAAACAAGCCTCTAGACACCTGTACACTAACAGCTGTGTCAACCATTTTGGGGATGGTGAAGGGTTAGAAAAACACAACCTAATTAAGACAATTAACAGACCACTACACAACTTACTTTAGCTGACCAACTTAGCTCTCGCCACACACCTTAACAAAACAACTTACCCAGTTCCAAAACCTTGCCCTGCCTATCTTCCGGAGCGTGCTGGGCTCGAGGCAACTTTAAAGGCAGAACTTCAGCGACCGGAGCCCTGAATTGCCTACCCCCAACAGAGAATTAATCCCCACCCAGGATTACTCCAAAAATAACAAAGGCAAAATAACAAAAGAGTGCCTGAAGGAGGAACTCAGAAAGCTCAGCTGGACACTCACCTACCTTAACTGGGAAGTTATGAATCTCTAAAAGGTGACAAAGCGAGATAATAAAAAAAAACCCATATCCAACACAGAACTCCCTTTTCAAATATCCCGGACGAGCCCCCACTTGTTACGTTCCCCTGGGGGGTCTAGGCGGTGAGGGGGGAGTAACAAAAGTGACCGGGTCAGAAACAGTAAAATGAAACGGTTTTATTGAAGTAATTCAACTAAAAGAGACGGAAAAGCCGCTATCACCATAAAAGTAACACAAACAAAACTCAGGCGTTGGTCAGTAATGCCAAAAAGTCAAAAGGAAAACGCAGCTCACCAGCTGGAAACACCACAAAACACAGTTCACTAGCTGGAAACACCACAAAATACAGCTCACTAGCTGGAAACACCACAAACACTCAGCTCACTAGCTGTACCCACACAAATGGCACTCTGGCCCAGAGCTCACCCTGCTCTGGGCTTAAATGCCTTTAATTGCTGATGGGAGTCGGCTGTACAGGAGGGAAAGGTGGCACCTCAGGCAGGAGGTAGTGGGACACGCCCACACAGGCACCCTCAGGAGAGAGAGAGGCCCTGCTAGGGCCGTAACAGTATTCTCAATGACGCTAGGCCAACTGTCATTGATTGTATCTTGTTGGATCGGATGCATGAAGATTTTTTTTATTCTTTTCTTCATTCTGTACTATCTCTTTCTCATTTTGCATAACACTTTTTCTGGTAAAACTCTTTTTGGATTTGCTGGATAAGTTGTTAAATATCCATTGTTTAAGATGGGCTGGACATTTTAATCGGTGGTTAGGCTTATTAGAGGCAGAGTTTGATTCTGGGTTTAAAAGCAGAATATGGTGCACGAACCTCCATAAAAAGACAATTACAAAGAGACTCTGGTCGTGCTAGAGTTCTGCCTTTGAGCAGGTTGTAAGGACGTGAGCTTTTTCTTTTCTTTCTTGTAGATGTATTGTTGGACATGCAGTAGACACCAGAGTGATTCATTTCACTGTGTGCACAATAGACGCCTATGCCTGCATGCTATAGCAAATTTATTCTGGGTTTGCAGCTGTATGACTCATTGTTGTTATAGGGTGTATTGTTTTCAGCACTTTGACTCAAACCTACAGGACCCAGCACACTTTTAATGCATTTTGACGTACAAGGGAGGAACAGGTATGGCATTGTTCAACATCCCAGCAAATAAGTTGGGTTGAGTGGATTCTATCATTCTTGGATGACTGTACACAGAATATTAATAACTGTGATTTTTCTAACAAGCTGTGTGTTTGTATGTCTTGAAAGCTTTCAGTCAAAATCGGGTGTGGACCATGTATGGACTGCTTAAGAGGCACCGTTGCTGTAAAAGTGGACAATCCAGAGTCTGTTTCACGCATTTCCACCAAAATAAAACAATAAGAGTGCCAGCATCAGTACAACACCACAACAATCCGTCACCCAAAGTTGGACCCACCGACTTCTTTGGCTTTGGAAGGGGTTAGCACAAATACTTTCCCTAGGAAGTTACCCCAGCTTCTGCTACATGTTATATAATAATGAGCTCTGAAACATGCAGAAATGTGGGTGGGTTCCTTAATGACAGAAACAGAATTTGCTCGTACCGACTCCACGTTGATCAAAACGAAGCAGCTGATTTGTTTTCAAGTGCACTCTGCTAAAGTTCATTGGCTTTAAAGCTTTAATGGCAAACCACAAGATTTTATGAGAGCAGCTTTGTTGTTTTAGTATTAGTAAACAAGCTTACATAGTAATAAATCTGTTTGATTGTAAGGAGCAGTCAAGCCCAGTTGGTTTATTTTGAGTAAAAAGGAAAAAGATTGCTTAAGCCATTAGATCAGTAGTGGTGACCATCAGGTAAATGTATTCCTTTAATATACAG